CAGGCCTATTCTCCTCGAGACCTCTCAAGACTATAAGAGGCCTTTTAAAATCTCTATTTGGGCTTCGAAAAGCTCCCCTGATCTTCCAGTTCACTTCTTGTATTTATTGGAGAGCTCTTCGGGCTTCACAACGAACATTAGAAGCGCAAGAATTTATCCCGCTAGGGGCTTTCAGTTGACCAAAATGCGACAGATTCAAGTTGCAATAATTTTTCAAAAACTATTCAGGTGGCTGGAACAGAAAACGTTTCACGGTGTTACTTCCAAATCCTTGCCTCACCTAAACTCATTATTAACGTTGATTAAATTACCTCAGTTACAAGCTCGTTCGAAATAGCTCAGATACATTTTGAAGTCGGTCACGATCCTGATCTGCCCGACCAGGTGACGTCGGTCATGATCCTGATCTGCCCGAAAACTCGTTTGTCGGTACACTACTGTGCGCTTAACCGTCAGAAATGAAGCAACATCATTTCATTATTCCTCCACTAGTGAACAATTTATCGTGCAGCGACCATGTATAGATATTTCGTTAGTTAGCCCCGCGAATCATCTTTTACGAACTTGAATATATAAATTTTCGCTGAATTTTAATTTAGTGACCAATCGACTTTACCATTCATTTATGATCATGCTATCACAAATAAAATCATCACAGATAACAGAAATATATTAAAATTTGTTAAAAAATAATTTTTAATTTCGTTTAATTATCTATATGGACCTAGATTGATGTAAAATTCAGTGATTTCAGATTGATTCAATTATATACATAAGTATTGTAATTCATGTAGGTCGGTTTGCAAAACTCTGATCCAGTTGATAGCAGCAGTTGATAAATATTATTCCGAATTAAAACTACGGGCAGCACGTCGAATCCCGTACTCGAATGCGGTACTTACACTGTTAAGGTATCATTATTATGCAATGAACTCGCTTTAACCTGCCTTCAGTCGAGCTATCATCTGGAAATCAATATATGAAATTCAAAATCTAAGATTTCATGCTGATCTTACAAATTTGATATCAAACGGTAATAAATGCATAACTACTGAACACTATAACATCACGGGGCATATTGATTATAATTTCTTTATTACTTTAGTATTCTCTAATCTAGAGGTTAGTGTTGCGGAAGAGCTGCCACACGATTAGCTATTCTTTAACTATATCAGAATAAATAGTATAAAATACAAATGAAATTCATACAACTGGTCTTACTAAGTATTTGTATTATTTTTAATTTCAAAATGAACTCTACTTAATCTGTATCTTCAGGCCCACTGCGCCATTGGCTCCAAGCCGTCTAGGAACTGAAGTGTTTCAGATATGGTATTTTCTGGTATTTTATTAGAAGGAAATCTGGTATAATATACCAGATCTGGTATAACCTACCGGGACGGTAGGATTCACAGGTAGGTCGATTTTACATGTAAAAAATGTGTTTTTTTTTTGTAAAAAAAACATATGTTAATTTTACCTACCTCATCCGATGCTAACGTCAAAAATAGGTCAGGTCCAGTTCGGTAAAGTTACTTTACAAAAAAAAAATGTAAAAAAAATAACTTTTCCTAACTTTACCTAACCTGCGAGGTTCTCAATGTAAAAAATCTTTTTTACAATCGTTAAAAATGATGATTGTAAAAAAGATGTAAAAAAGATTAATTTATAAAGCCCCAGAAGGGAATTTTACACCCCCGAGATCCAAAACCTACCTGGACCTACCGGGTAATTTTAGGACCGCAAGGTGCACAACAGTTCCTTGCTGAACTGGTATGGTTGGCGGCGTTTCTAGCGTATTCTGCGACTTCGTAAGCTGAATTAGCTGAGAATTTTTATACGGAGTGATTGCTACAAGGCTTGCTTTAAGAGCTAAATTTTTGGCCGATGGCTGCACACGCATGAGAGTCAGATGACGCCGCGCTTCTGTGTTCAGTCATTTAAACATTTATAATTTTTTTAAGAATCCTAGACGCTTTTACTCTAAAATTTCACAGACAAAGTTCATTTATAGATATCAAAAGAAGTATTTAATGATTAATATGATATAATGAATAACGAGAGTAATTTTTTTTTGTGAAATCTTTTGAGGTAAACTAGTCATTGTTCAGCTCCACAATTATAATGTTTTTTTTTATTAGGACATGTGCGGAGAAAGAATGCATTTGATGCATGCATTATATAATTCTTCCAAGATAAAATACTTTTCAAAATAAAAATTAGAGGATTTACCTTAAAATGATACTGGAGTCTAGATACTTGTATAAATTGGAGACACTGGTTGCGAGGGACTCAAAGACAGAAGGGAACTTTTGGAATTGAAAACAATGGTTGACTGAGCAAGTTGAGCCTATCCCTAAATAATATTGTTTAAAATATTCATGAGGATATGATTTTAATGAATGGCTATAAAACTCTAGAATATAAAGATTAACAATTGCTCATTATTGTTAGCGCCAATTGAGAACCAATTAGTCCCAAGCATAAATTATACTAAAATTTTTTCTCTAATTGCACGAATTTATATCTTCTTCCTTCCTTTTCGGGGGGTCCACGCTGGGTGGACATAAAGCCTCAGGTCTGCCTGATGGATGACCGTTGGGCCTGAGAGCTTGTTGCTGGTTAAATTTTTTGCTTTTTGGAACAGGAAGCTAGTCAGTGCCTCTTGAGAGAGATCTGTTCTTTAGTATCGAATTTATATCATTTGTTTAATTAAGTATAAGCCGAAATATGTCAAAATTCGCCGTTTTATTAGTAAATAAATGATTACCAATCGTTTCAGTTTTCACCCACTATAAAGTTGTGCGTAACTCCTCTTACGCAACCTTTGAGTTGTCGTAAAGTTACGTACAAATTCTTGTGCGTAAATTTGTTCAAAACGTTTTGACTAAACCACCATTTGGATTTACGTCTACTTGGCTGTGCTTCAAGGGTCACAAAATTCTGCCTCCAATAATGACAGAAAGATGAGAACCATTACTGTCGTCAAAATTCACGTGGCCTTTAGTGATCATTGGACTTTGCTGCGTTTAAAGGTAATTTCCGGAATCAAACCGTTTGAAAATTTACAGTCAACAATGAACAAATAAGAAATTAATTACGATGCTTGACTCCGTAACTAACCTAAAGACACTATTTAATGCAGCACGAAGTAACTGAATCCTAGAAACAAAATAATGTACTTACTAAGAGGCCTTGCATGTCGTCATTACGCGATCAACTTGTAGGCCATGCGATGCCGAAAGCCTGACGTAACCAACAATCGATTCTTTTCAATGCATAACCTTCAGCTCCGCAAATTAATCCAGTTACTGAGATGAATTGGAGATTAGAAACTATGGCATAAAAGCAATGGCCAAAAAAATTAATGCATAGCATATGTCTTGAGCTGAAATCTTATATAAATGTTGAAATCTCGCATCACACAATTTCAATGTTCTCAAATAAGTGATGATGATAGTCAACTACATCGTTAAAAATACTCGAAGTGACAACTAACAAATTTGCCTTCATAACTATATCTTTTTCTGTTAAATACGTCATAGTTTAAGGTAAGACATCACAATAGAATGGAGAAGCGCGGGTTAATCAAGTTACTGCACTAACTTTATTGCAGCAGTCGCAATTAATTTCACTCTTCACAACAGTCAACAAGTGAGTTTTCTCTGCAATCCATCGTCGGCCGATACATTGGAGGTATCGAGTTTTGAAATTAATTTCTTTAAGTAGTTAAATTATCAACTGACCTTCAAATTTCTGGACTGACAACCAAAAAATACGGTTTGGTTTACAGTAGTCACGGGAAATTCTTGTAGGCGATAGTCAACACCATCACGACACGACATGGCAGCGAGAACATTCATAAGCAGTCTTCAGCTGTAGGGACGTTTGGAAAATCCAACTATGAGCGTATCTGCAAGAACTACTTGTATAGGCGCTCAAGCAGACATGTGACCAAAGCTGAACATTTCTATTGTAGGAGAAATCATTAGTTCGTGCGCTTGCAGAACATTGATCTTCACGCAATTTGAAGTCAATAAAACACTTCCACAAACACTCAAAATGTAAATTTTTCTGTTTAAAATCTACGCGTGCAATGTTCTTCACAACTAAATTGTTTGCAAGTCGTACAGTTCATTGAAAGAGACAAAACGATTTAACGACTCCTTTGAAAAGCATTGATCACTCGAGACAACATTACGGCTTCACTATTGGTAATGTAGTGTACTGATGCATTACTAGCTTATACCGCCTGCGGCAGGGTTGCCAGATGCTGGTAGGAGAAAATGGCCTGGACATTCATCAATGCCATACATCTTGCGAGAGATGGCCATGGTTCGTGCAATTACGCCCATCTATCCTCTGACCAGGCCAACATGAGGCGAACTGAGCAGCGACTGACAATGGCCATCTTGATGCCGCCTCACCAGTTTCTGACTAGGGCCGTCATGAAGCAGCCTGAGCGGCGTTTGACCAGGACCATCATGAGTCAGTTTGACCAGCTGCTCTTTTCGGTTATATTACGCACATTCAGCCCACTGGGCAATCACTTTCCGAAAGAGGTTGCTAAATAGCACCCGAACACAGGAAGTTGTCGATTCATGCCTGATTCACCTCTAAGCCGACTCCATCGCCTCTGGGGCGGCCCAAATCGGAACGAAATTTTAGACTGTGTAATTATTTAGCTCTTGTTAGAGATTGCGTGCACGAGGAATTGTGAAAATAATATAACTTGATTGCTAATTTATTTGTATGCGAAAAGCTCGTTGATCTCATAGATTAAACATAATAGCGATGAACACTTGAAAGGTGCACGAATGCAAACCTGGGCTCGGAAACCAGCACAATTGAATTGAGCTTGCAAGAATCATTTTCCAAAATATATTCGAAATGTTCCCTCCCCGATCAATGTGGTCTTATATAAGGAAGAACATTCATTTAAATAATAACTTATTTTCTGTTTTTTTTTTTTTGCTCACTCAAAGGATGTTAAGAGAACCTTTAATTTTTAAGATGATTTACTGGCGCCCTTCATTGATTTAGTACGTCAACGAGATGCCGGGTAGTTGGTGTTGAAGACGAAGGCGCGGATCATGTCCAGCGCGACGGTGGGTTTGTCCTCAGGAACCATGTGGCCCGCGCCGCGAACCGTCAGGTAGTCTAGCAACTCGAACCGCTTCACGAACCCGCCCACTTGTGGACCCGAGTACCACTCACGGTGGTCTTCGAGTACCTGCAATTGGTACACATCAGAGTAATGCTTCAGAGTATTACCCACTCTGAAACATGATACCATTCCTTGTCCTCGCATGCCTGACAGTAAAAATATATTAATAATCCCTGGCCACTAGTACTATTACATGATAAATATGTGGACAAGAAGAAAACTGGGACCATTTAGTTAATGTAAATATTATTATTCTATTGAATGATGATATTAAAGTAACCCTGAATGTGCAAAGACACGGTCTTATCTGGCCCTTGCATTTATATTCAATGAATGTGAGGGCATAACATTCAAGATCGGTGCGAAAGAAAAAAGTCGCATCGCATCAACTTTCGGAATAATGAAAGAAAATCGATGGGGATGATGATACAACTTTTCGTTGTCCAACATAAAATTAATGGCGTTCAACGATTGTTCAGCGTTGTTCTATCATAAACCAAATAAAAACTCACTGCTTATTATATAAATGGTAATAACGTTAACAATGCAGTTTTGGAGCGTTTCAAGTGCTACTAGTATGTCTTGACACGCGTTGTTCACTCTCACCTGGTATCCTAAACCGTCGACGAACCACTGGTCCCCAATGAAATTGCAGACCATGTCGCAGTCTCCATTGTAGACGAGACCACGAACACCAGCGGCAGACAACTGCAGGAACTGCGCCTTCATGTCTTCGTAGTGTTCGATGAAATTCCTGCCCACCTGAAAAATATATGGTCAAATATTTGATATATTATCGCTTCGATAAAATTTCTATTTCTTTTGGAAATCAGATAGAATAATGATAGCAATCAATCATACAGTAATAACTTTCACCCACGTGTAATGGAAGATTTAGTTGACAAATATATTACCTCGCTATTGCAGACTACCCAGACTTGGTCCACGGAGGCTGGGATGTGTAGAGCGTCCCTCACTTCAGGCTTGTTCATGTAGGTTTCAATGACGGTGTCGTCAATATAAACGCATGTAGCGTCAGCCATCGCCTTGTAACTATTGCACACGGCAGGAACAAAGGCAAAATATGTATGGTGAAAAGCATAAACATTGGCATTTGATCTGCAAACGGTAACCAACCAAATTCAACTATGATAATTCAAAAGCTATAAATGTTATAGAAAGGATTGCAAATTGTGATGACATATTTGTTTTTTATTACACGTCCGGTAAGAAACAGGACAGGATATCAAAAGTGCCAAAGTTAATATCGAAGACGAAATTAGGTGGTTTGAAAAAATTATGAACGTTGGTGTTCTAAAAACTATTTATAACGCCAAAGATTATCAGAATTTGAGATAATCATTTCATTGTGATATATGAGTGTTACAGCGCAATTTGTACCTCGAACGACCATGGTTCCGGAAGGGATTCCTCCTTGCAACATTCATGCGATTCAACGCTGAACCTTCTGTGCTACCGACCACTTGGCAATCCGAGTAAAGACTGTAGGGGTTCAACTTGCCGTTGAACACCGTCAAATATATCTTGTCCGCCTGCAAATAGCCAAGAAAAAATATAGCCATGTGTAGAAGAGATCCCATATAATTGTAAATAAAGAATGAGCAATAAAAAGTGAAGAATAATTTGCATAATGATTCGCTTTTTACACATGCAGGTATCCCAGCGAGAAGATTTAATATGTTTTACATGAACATGTGTTCATCGGTTGTTTTCCATTAATCATGATTAATGCATACAAATATTCTCATTTTAAGTTCTAATTTTCTAAATGCGAACCTATCTTCAAGTAAAGTAGGCCTTATATATAGTGACTTCATAGCAAATTAGCAGCACGAGTCCCATCAAACATCCCATAAGTAATGAACTTGTTGTGCAAATCCTCAGATTATAAATGCATCAATATATTAGATTGATAACGTAGAGAAAATAATGTTCGAGTTCTAGAACCGTATTTAAAATGTCCAGCGCATATTTCAGGGAGTGCACGAACGGCTCTGTCTGAACGTTGTGCCTTGCATGATTGTCGAATAAAAATATAAAAAACGGAAAATGTAAAAATGTGAAATTTTTAAATAAAATATTCATTTTAGACAATAACCCACTGCTGTAATACTCTAAATAATCTTTATGACCTCCACAATGGAGTGTGTACGGTGCATGCTGGAATTAAAATATATATATTATTGAAATTAATAAATCACAGGCAGAAGTTGTAGTAAGTGAACAACTGCTTTTGAAAATTAATTTCAATTTACGGCTAAATCATCAATAATAACCTATTTTATATTTAATAAATAAGGAATAATTCGTATATCTGATAAAACAATTTTGTTCACTAGTGTGAAAGTAAATGCGTATCACGAAAACATTATTATGTATCCTTCAGAGAGCGATATATAAACAGTGACTTAAAGTAGGTGACTCAATTGGGCTATATTTAATAAGTCACTTGATAATGTGAATGTTAAGTGCGAATTTCTGCAATCGACGCATAATAAACCAATTATTAGCGGTGTTTACAATAATGTGAATTAAACTAGAAAATTAAAAAAGAAAATTAGCATAAATAAATGGATCTAAATTAGCACAAATAATAAACAACAAATATTAACCAACATACAGGGAACATTTGCGTAATCGAAATGAACTCGGCTGAATTTTTTAGCGCTACAGTAAAGAGTATATAAGAAGAGAACGCAGGGCATTCAGATGACGATTAGAACTCCTAGTGAAGGTAGAGTTATTTGATCTTGTCCAAACATACAGTCAATACAACGAATAGCAAAGCCAAATTATGCTGGAAAATCAACTGAAATAACCATCTCGCGTTAGGCTCGATTCCTAGACTAGGACCCTGAGCGCTCAGTAGGAATTATCAAACAAGAACCAACACCAGGGGCCACGGCTATAAACTAAAAAAAACTGCGCTGCAACTTCTCCACGCGACAAAATTTCTTCTCGCTTCGAATCACCGACATGTGGAACAGCCTCCCCAATGACAACCTTGGCGCTCCAAGTATGAACGCGTTCAAGAACAGACTATATAAAGCTATGGAAAAATATATGTTTAGATTTGAAATGCCCAGCACCATATCGAACCCGGTTAAGTCTAGTAGCTACTTGAAACTATCGTCAGTCATGAAAATATCCGGTCAAATGAAACGATATTAGATCTCCTGTGAACAAGGCACGAAAAGGAAAAGAATCGGCGACAGGCCACATCAGGCCTACACTGCAGCGCCGAGATCACTATGTTATGTTATCACGGGTAACTGAGTTCATACCAGCAGCTCGCACTGCGCGCTGTGGTTGGAGTGAAAGTTGCAGGCGTCCTGACTGGGCACGGCGTCCACGCAGCACTCCGCTACCGCTGCGTCCCAAGTTCTGCCAACGGGAACAAGAAGTTTGCTCCTGTTATTCGTGGTCATAAATTTGTGCAATATTCAGTAAACAATGTATACTATATAAATAATAGTAATGAATATAAGCACATTAATTTATTATTGTATGTGTTCAACAAGTAATCATCAAATTATTGTTAGCTTGCCGTACATTCCAACTAGGCATCCATAACAAAATTCGGGGACCGCTATAGGCTTCGGTCGAATAGTCACTACACTCGGCGCTAAGTTATTCTGGGTCTGCTTGGCCACCCGATCGAAATCAGTTTCTTGTCAGAATCTCCTATTATTCATTATAGTCGCCTGAGACTATGGCAAGGGTTGAGCGAGCCGAGTCATACCGAGCTAGTAAGTTGTGTTTTTCGCTTAAATCTACAACAAAATGTCATTAAAGTCTGCAATAATTCCTCCATGACCGCACTAATATAGTTATATTATAACTTTCGAGCTGATCTTTTTTTTATAATTGTGATTGGGCAAGAGCGATATGGTCCGCAGGCGAATGCGTGGACGAGTTTATGGTGGTGTCGATTCGTTGTAGGATCTATTGAACTATGTCATGCTAGGGGTCATTAGAGTGAATAGTATAAGACAAGAACTCGTTTTTTTACAGCCACAACTAGGAGTAATTAGTGTAAATATGATTAGTCAAAGACGCGCCGTTTTCTATAAAAGTAGGAGTAATTAGTCTAAACAGGGTCAGAATGACACTCTTTCCCAAAAAGTAGGAGTAATTAGTGTAAATATCGTTTTACAAAGACTCAATTTTTTTCCTACAAGTCAAAGAAATTATTGTCATTATGTGTTGGGCAAAGATTAACTTTTTCCTGGTGTTAGACAAAAACTCACTCTTTCCCTACAAGTCCGTGGTAGTTGGCGTAGAACATTAGACTGTTGAAGTTGACGGCGTAACCTGGTAGGAGTCCGTTACCAATCGCAAAGCCTTGTAAGTTGATGGGGTTGGTGACATTGTTCTCAACAATGCGCACAGACAAGGTGGGTATGTAGATGCCCCCGTAACTCTCACCGGTAATGAAGAACGCGCTCGATTTGTACGCCGGAAACTGAATGGAACAATAATTGATTTCAAATTTTGTGTTCGACCACGGCTGTTATAAGACGAGGTTGAAATTTGAGAATGATGCTCTTCGGTAACACACGATGACTTGAATATTAATACTGAAATCCAGCAATATTTTCGCTGAAAAACACAGACAAAGTCACATTAAAATTATTTATCCAGTAAGATAGTAACATAATTAAAGATAATAAACATAAATAACACTTCGAATTAATATTATTGAATGAATTCAACAAAAGTTAATGGCTTAAACTGCAAATTATTAGACTTAAACTGAAGTTAAACTAAACATTGTGAACTATAGCGATAACAATGATTTATGACAAAGTACTGGAAGGCAACAGAAATATGGGTGAATATTAACCAATTTGGCATTAAACGAGATACGGAAATAAAATTAACGCTAGTATGACAATGGAATTATTATTAAGCAATTTTTGTCGTCTCCTTACGAAGTCAATGATGAAAAATAGAGATAATTATGAAAATTGCGCTCGCGAAGGCGCAGCCATAGACCGCAAGCCCTGGAGCCATCGCCCAGTTTCACAACGCTTAACTTTACTCAGCCTCAGAGCCAGAAGCCGCAGACTACGCTTGAACTGCGTAATCCCGACAAGCGACACACTGCCGAAAGATAATAGCGCCGTAGGTCTTCAGCCAATGCTTTATTAAACATGCTCATAAGCAGGCAATTCCTCATCCGGCTGTACCTACTCTGGCCTAACCTATTCACGCTGTCCAGGCTCACAACATTCTTGCAGCCAATGACTGGCTCTACCAGCACACTTGCACCGCCTTTTTAACTTCCTGCAGCCAATGAGGTTAGGTTAGGTCCGCTCAGGTTTATTTTGGGTGGAGAAATGCTGCAACTTGCGTAGGTTAGGCCTGAAAAGGTTTGGCCAGATGCAGTATAGTCATGCTTACCTTTAGTAAGCATATTTTGTAACTGGGTATCCGGCGCTATGGCTTTGAGCACTTGACTTTATAGGCTGTTATGCCCTCTAGTGTTCTTACCTACGGAAAGAAATATATAAACTAAGTGTGAAGTTTGGCAAAGCTGGCCTCCGGCATGCGCCCCGCTCGAATAAACTAACTGCGTGTCTATTTATCATGACTACCACAATCCTTTTAATTCATGAGCTTGTGTTCTTACATTAAATAATATTCTTTCCATTCTTAAATATTTGTTTAGGAATTTCTTTAATTGTTAAGGAACTTCTTTTGACCCGCTTTTACCCGTTCAAAGAATTGCAGTAGAGCGTTGTAGTTCTGCAATGAAGTAGAATCGTCCGAAGCTGTGCAATTCCTGGGCACGTTATAGGAATAGCCAACGCAAGCAGGAGATTCCAAGTAGATCACATTGGCGAACTGGAAAGAGTTTTCGAAGTTTAGATGCATACTAATTTAATTAATTAGCTTCTTATGAGCTATTGTAATTTCAGAAGGCTCAGCACTAAAACTTTGGTAAACAAATATTCTGTTTTGTTACATTTATCGACCCACTGAACGATTTATATTCCATGCCAAAAGTATATTTTCCAAGTTTTTGGCCAAAAATTAATAATTATTTTAGCAAAATCAAATTATTTAATCTAGGTTTTTAATAATGCTAATTTAATCCTGCGATAATTTCCCATACCATTTATGTAAGGTTTTTCTGGAACAATATCACCTCCCGAAATACGAAATTCTTAGACAAAGAATATAATGAAAAATAAATAATTATAAGTGATATCAGCAGCACCGGAAGATAGAAACGGTAGTTTGGTGGCAATTTTTCATTAATATATTATATACATATATTAATTTAATGTAAGTTCATATTCTCGGTGTGCATGTAGAAGTCAATCTTATTTTATTATATTATTATATTTTAATACCTTGTTTTATGGAAATAGTAATTTAATATCAGTTCACGGCCATATTTTTGTGACTTTTTCAGACGAGGATGAAATTTGACATCATTTTGTGTGATTCTTTATAAATGTCAAATTTAGTAATCAATTTAGTAATTGTGCATCAAAGGCAAGCAATTTGGGCTAACGATTCTGTAATTCAACGGCCGTGTTGAACGGCAATTAGTGGATTAGTTCTAGGTCCCCTGTAGGCTATTCAATCAGTGCGAGCAGATTTATATCTGATTAGCCAATCATATAATTAATTAACCATATACATATAATAATATGAATAAAATAATTGATGGGTATTTAGTGACCGTGTTCCAAGTGAAGGGGTTTGGGGTGAGCGTAGCCGCGTCGGCGTTGATTTTGAAAGGCCCGAGCTCGTTGAAGAGACCGTCCATAGAAGAACAACCGGGGCCGCCGTTCAGCCACAACAGCAGCGGGTCTGTCGCGGGGTTGTTCTGCGACTCGATGAACCTGTGCATTTATTGAACGTGTATTGTGCATTCATTTTATGTTACTTACAGCAAAAATTTGAGAAAATTAGTGTCCTGGAAAATACTTGTTAGTCGATTAGGAGCATAATGTCAACACAGACTCATCTTGCAATGTTCTGCGCAGTCCTAGAGTACGTTTTTGCATTGTGGTATAGTCCGCCACATATAAGTCATGCTGCGCGCCACCACCTAGTCAGTTAATAATAATGATTTAAATTAAATCAATAAAATTTGATTTGATAAAGCACTAACCAGTAATGCAACATGTTGCCGTCACCACCGTCCAGATAACCGCTGTACTGCTTGTACGTAGCAGACGCGTCCAGCCCTGGCAGCGCCGTGACCTGATCGGCGTCAGCCTCGGGCGTCGTTTGGCTGAGCGCCTCACGCGCCATCGCCAGCGCCGCGAGCACCACGAACGTTGATACTTTTGAGAGCTTCATGACACTACCGTCTGAGGGAGAGCTTGCTTTTGTTAGTAGGTAGAGGATAAGTTGAATTTCGGGAATATTAGTTAAAAAGAGTGGTTAGTAAAATTATAAATTTTGTTGCTCGAAAATGCCTGATTGTGCAAAAAAATACCCAATAACTTTTGCGATGTTTCAAGTCCAGTATTATATGCCATTTTATATCAAGGCTACTGGAGGAAGGAGTAGCTTTAGTACAGAGTCTTGTATTTACTATTCATTGTTATCTCTCATTTCAGAAGGAAGTTAACTGTTCCGGGCAGTATTGGAACCTCAAGCATGATGTTCTCGTAGATTCATAACATCATAACATAACAGAACCATGACAACACGCAAGATTGGTGCAGACGAGGTCGCTATAAACATTAAACAAAATTCAGAAATACTAGCACACAAAACTACAATGCGTGACCCACGTTACATTGGGCCACAGCATAGAATGAGCACGGCTCAGCAACAGAAAAAATTCACGAAGAGTTTCAGTCAAGTTTTTTTTTTTTGTAATTGAAACAAATGCCGGACGCTCTACACGCAATTCAAATTTCCCCATGAAAAATACGTAGCTCATCAGCATCTGTCTCTTCGTCACCAACTCCTCACCCAAAAGGCGCATTTCGTCGTCATATGTTCAGGAATTTGTGCCTTCAAAAGTAGATAAAAAATCTCATAACCAATTTTCGTTTAATTTTGTCCCTGATGTTTATACGTCGCACGGTTTTTGTCCAGTAGTTTTCACTGAAATACTCGTATCTATATCGAAACTGGAACAAAGTGAATAAAACTATTGTTTGCCACGTGCTGAGGTCCTAAGCGCGGAACTCAATGAATATGTGGTGGCATTTATATTATCCAATCTTGGGCTGGAATAATCACTTAACACGTTATGAATGTGTGTAAATACATTTATATATGTAAGATCCGAAAAAAATCTTTCGATATATTTTTTCCATTCTTAAATGTCATCATGTCGCGTGCGCACAAGTTGTGGAATTACAAATATAAATTACAATGGTAGCCACTGAATCAATAACTCTTTCAACCTGTTAATCTTTTCAACGCATCAAGTTTTTAATGAATTTTGAATATTTTAATTTTAATTGGGGAATATTATTGAGAGGGGTTTCCCTAAGTCTATTCCTTATTTTTGTATTCCATGCATTCTACATAAAAAATATTCCATCCGACTTCACCCTCAAAATTTGTCATTGTCCGTAAAGTCAAATTTTTTCAACTAAAACTGTAACATAGTTTTACACATTCTTAGAATAAAAACATTTCTCGGGACAAAGAAGCCTGGGACATGTTAATTAAAATTCATTCGCAGACACTCACAACAATAAATCTGATGCTTTAATATAATATTTCTCAATAATATTAAACACTCATCTTTAGAAACTTTTCACATTTGAGAATGCTCAAACACCATGCAACACACAACTATTTGTGATTAGTATAAAATGATATTCGACCTCAACTTAATTTAAGTGCAAAATTTTTATAAGAAATAACGATTAGCTAGCCAGATTATTTACCGTTTTTTGGACAGTGCTCTCCCGTCAAAGTGCTATCAGACACTCGTGTGACGAGCTACAATACTTCGATCACAACTTTATTAGAACAGCTAGAGCCGCACCTGTTTGTTCCCATGTACTGTGATTCGCTGGCGTGTATCCATGATAAATAATGACCGCAACCGACCGAATCAAACTACTGATTTACTATAAAAACAAGAAACTCGGGAATTTAATAATGAAAAATAGTCCATCCAAAAAAAGTCGGGGCCATTACAAGAAACCAATGTCATTTACAAATATTCATGGTATAAATAAGGTTTTAGACTTCTCCACAATATAAATTACATTGGTTTGACCAGCACGACTTTGAGCCGCCGCCTAACATGCCACATCCAGACCAGAGGTTCTATGAACCACATGAGAGAGGCTCATAATGAGACCCTCACTCGCGCGCCTGAGATGCCCCGACGCCACATGACTGGCGATAGCTGAGGCTCTCATCATCAAGCATGAGTCTCCAGCTATTAATTTGCAAACTACCGGATTTGTAAGGACACTGAAAGTGTTCTCTTAATTCAAGCTTTGATTTTCAGTCTATCCATAATGCCCCATGTTTGTACAAACGTAATTTCAAAATTTTAAATACAAGTGTTGTAAAACTCTTCCCAGTTTTATTATGAATGTAGTTGCATTCAAAACGTCGTAAATTGTAATAAAATATCCCTTGTAAACCTTATATTTGAATTTTTAATTCAGATCATAAGCCTAATTCGCCGAATAAAGAAAAATAATAATAAAATGGTCATAAGAAATACTTATGGTCATAAGAAATGGTCATAATACTCATGGTCATAAATGGTCATAAGAATAAAACCTGCATTAAATGACAAATAATGGTACGCAATACGAGTAGAAAACATGGCGCAAGACGAAAGACAATGGAAATCGATTGATGTTTGAATTTCAAACGATATTTTTAGCGTGGATATTTTCTAGGCCATCAATTAAATTTTAAAAAATGTTCTGGCTCATTACTTGAACTGAGCAGAACTTAACAAATTCTTTCCGATCTCTAGAAAGAAAAATCACTACCAGAAGTGAAACGCATTATTATTTTTTTCACAATAATTGGAGAAATTTTTGTTTGAGGAGACACTTAACAGACACAAGTACCTCCAATAAAATGTATCCCTCTAACTTTTGTTCCCATATCCGATGACTTTCAGCTATGACATCCCTTTCCATCATTTGGTTGTATCGGCGTGTGTCGAATAATTCTTTTATTTTATTTGTTTAAAATTTTGAAAGAAAATTGAATAGTAAATTAACGTCTTTGATTAAAAACTACACGTAATTACACCAACTCAAATCATTGATGCGCTATGATTGAGGGTTCAAGCAGGATATCTTAGAGTAGGTGTGTGTACAAAATACCTCTTATATTGAGGTATATTAGCGCGCTGCTAGACTGTGTCAAAGAATAATTTTCTACAAATTGAACCGGGACAACGGGACGAGACGAGAAATTTCCCGGAAAAAATTACGAGCCAGAAGGAAAAATTTGTCCCGCAATTAAGTTATAAACTGAGACAATACTCGTGTCCCGGACTTGAAAAGTTGTGCACCGCTTATTATGATGCGAGGCACATGAAACGAGACGTAACTTAACGAGACGAGAGATTTTGCTTGCCACCTTTTGCTTTCTGATCTTATTCGTTTGACCTCTCATTAACTAAATTTTCAACCAAATCTTTTTAAAATAAACATAACTGTTCTACTGGTAGATGTCTGCTTCATGAAAACTTTTTGGACCGAAGTAGGCTCACACCTGGCAGCTACTAGTCGCTACTCGCTGTTAACATCTGAAGCAGGCAGTACACGAGGCCACTAACTCGATAATTATTGACGGTTACAACTGAGCCATTAAAGTGGCGGCCGCAGCTGCAGGTAATGTCTGAAACAATATTCAGTAATTAAATTGTATATCAAGGATTACATGGTGTGTCTCGTTATAACTCGTTAAAAACGATGTAAATTCCGGGAAATTTTTAGGCTCCAATTTCAACCGAAACGTTTCGACTCCGTTTTGTCCCCAAATTCCCGCAGAGTGCTTCAAATTGTCCCGGTTTTTATAGCTAACCGGAACAAAGCTTCTTGTCTCGAATAGAAACAGTACTAAACGCAGGAGTTGACGCGCTTCAAGCACCCGAGGCAAATTAATCTTACTGATGTGGGAAAAGCCCAGCTTATCACGATAGGGAAAACCGCACAATTTGACAGTCATTTTAGGAATGTAATATCATATCGTAGTGAGGTCGGTGCTGAAGATTAGCCTTGATGTGGACTGTAGCCGAGATCTAAACAGGAGACCTAAAACAGGTCCTTTGACTGGATCTTTTCAAAACTGACGATAGTGTGAAATAGCTACTAGACTTCCGCCAGGTTCGATATGGTGCTAGGCATTTCAAGTCTGATATATATTTCTCCATAGTTTCATCTAGTCTGTTCGTGAACACGTTCATATTATAGGAGCGTCAACTTTACAATCCGGAAAGCTGTTCCGCATGTCGGTGACTCGAAGGGAGAAGAAATGTTGTCGCGTGGATAAGTTGCACCGCAGTTTTTTAGTTTATAGCCGTGGCCCCTGGTGTTGGTTCTTATTTCAAATTCTAATAATCCTTCTGGGACTCAGTATAAACCATGAGCATACTTGTATACTTCAATGAGGTCACCATGCAGACGTTGATAACTGAGGCTTGGAAGCTTCATAATCATTAATCTTTCTTCGTAAGACTTGCGCTTCAAGCCTGGGAATTATCCTTGTTGGTTGCTGCACGTCTTTGAACACTCTTTACTAAGTTTATGATTTTTCGTTTCGGCGACCACACGGCGTTTCCAAACTCTAGGTTCGGGCACACGACAACGACAAACAACAGCTTCATAATTTCTGCATCTAGCAACTCGTAAGAGCGTCTGATCATCAGTCCAAGAGCGTCTGATCATCAGCCCAGTCAACTAAACTATCAAGATCAGATAATCTTGCAATTTCACTTTATTTGACGCATCCTTGACTGTATCGACATGCATGGATCACACCCTTGACACTACTTCTGGGCAGATCGTTTATAAAAGCAACGAACAAAACAGGCCAAGAACACGTCCTTTAATTGTAGCACGCCACTGCGCACTGTTGCCCAGTCTGGAACGGTTCCGTTAATACTACAGGCCCGTTTCCACTACGGGACTGATTCTGAAGGATTGAGACTGGCCTGAGACCAATAAGCCTCATGGCTGGACTTGAAAACTGGCGTGCGCGTTTCCACTACGTACGTGTGCTGGGATTGAGACTGACCGTCTGGGCTACCGCACTCGCTGGCCTTTGAAGATAGATTACGCTGCCGCTCTTGCTTTTACTAGCTGTTGTCACTATGCGCAGGAGGAAACAAAGATCTCTTTACCTAATAATTCACAAATGCTACTACTATTATTGGTTAATGTGTTTATTTACTATTTACTGAGTATACATACACTGCAAGTACAATAAGATAATTAAGATTTAATTGACGGACGAGTGAATCTATGTCAATAAACAGATAAAATCGGTCAATGAGAGGTTAGAAAGTATTATTTCCATTTTTCGATATTCGTGGATGGATATAATTTCTCCATTTATTTACTTATTTTCTCTAATTCTCAAGATTCTGTCTTTGTAAAAAAAGCTTTTTACTTGCCAGAAGCAAGGTGCCTCTCTATATAAATGGATAAGACTTTCAGTGACATCTCTGCTACAGTCTCCGTCGTGCGACATTGCAAAGCTAAGTAAATGAACAGTAATTGTGTGTAAATAGGGCAGGAGCGACAGTCACGCACAACCTACTCAGACGGCAGTCAAAGCGACACTCCCGAGATGAGCGGCTTGAGCGGCTCAATGAGCGGCTCAAAAGAATGAACACTGCTTCATTCGCCGATGAGCCCGTGTCGATGGTCTGGACAGCCTCAGTCTGGGCTGAAAAAGCCAGTTTTTCAGTCGTCAGTCGCGCAGAGTCTCATAGTGGAAACGGGCCTTAACACGTTGTCGTCTACCTGCTAAAAAAAACTGCGCTGCAACTTCTCCACGCGACGAAATTTCTTCTCGCTTCGAATCATCGACATGTGGAACAGCCTCGGCGCTCCAAGTATGAACGCGTTCAAGAACAGACTAGATAAAGCTATGGAAAAATATATGTTCCACCATATCGAACCCGGTGGAAGTCCTATAGTAGCTACTTGAAACTATCATCAGTCATGAAAAGATCCGGTCAAATGAAACGATATTAAATCTTCTGTGAACAAGGCACGAAAAGGAAAAGAATCGGCGACAGGCTACATCAGGCCTACACTTCAGCGCCGAGATCAATGTGTTATGTTATGTTATACATGCATTCATCGAACCCTTCCTAGGTAGGAAAATGAAATATATTTTTTTAATTCAAACGTATGTCTATGGTATATAACTATATACTGTATAACTGCATAAACGACCATGCATCTTTTGCACACAAAATCACTTTGTTGAAAGAAAAAACCTAGAACGCAACATAAATTTCGCACATAAACAAAAGTAAAATAAATATTTATTGCAAATCTATGAGACTTTTGTTGTTGTTGTTGTTTGCCACTCTCATATCATTGTCGCAACAAAGCTTGTTCATTTTCTTCGTTTTAATGTTTACCAGCATCGAAAATGACTGCTCGCAAAGCTATGTTGTAACAAACGGTATGAGAATATCCAGGGCTTTGTTAGCAATAAGAGGGTACGCTGCGATTTGGAGACACCAATACGTTGTGAGCGCTGTTGTTCTGCAGGGCCATTATACTTTCAAAGCTCGCTAAGTGAACGTAAGTACTTACGCTCTATTTTCTTGTCTATGATTCATGCTGGGTATGAGATTCGGTGTGGAAGTATCTGTCGAGAGACTTTACGAGCTCATCTAAGTGCATTGCAATTGCTTGCTGCAAGCAATAATGGCCAAGCAGTGCGTGAACTCTCATGAAACAAACCGTCGAACCCCAGAAAACGACTCACCGAACCCCTGGGGTTCTATCGAACCCAGGTTAAGAACCACTGGTCTAATAGGACGTGGTTAACAGTCAAGTGATCGATAATCCTACCTCTCATCATGAGTCTAATTACTTTAAGGGGGAGGTATACCCTAAAATTTTCGGATTTGGCATTTTTGGGTTTTAATCTCATCTTAAAGCTGAAATTCTGCTCTTTCCAATGGTACCACTGCCATCTCTGCACGTAAATATTTACGTTCATGACGTCTCTNTGGAAAGAAGCATACCAGACGATGACCTTCAAGTGTATTGTACACACCTGGATGAACTGCACAGAGACATGTCTGAGAGATTTGAAGACATTTTATTGCTTGAAATACCATACTGGGTGATCAATCCATTCCTAAATGTCGACGGTGAAGAAACCGGACTGGCAGAGGAAGAACTAATTTCAATTCAAAATGATATTGAGCTAAGGCCAAAGTTCAAAAAGTCATATCAAGATTTTTGGTTACAAGAAAAATCTCGGACTGCCATCAAGTGCTGTGGAACAGGGTCAAGATGTACTGTATTGCTTTCCTAACATCATATTTAGTAGAACGGGGCTTCAGTGCAGTCGCCTTGCTTCTTTCCAAGCAAAGAAACCGACTGAAGATTACTGACCGCGGAGATCTACTTCTACTTAGTGAGCTCCAGCCTGATGTCGAGAAGCTCATGTCCCTGCACCAAGCACATCCATCACACTAATTTAAGTGTGAACCAATGAAGGTTACTGGTGAAATGTTCATCTACCATTATATATTGATAAAACAATTAAAACTGATAAAAATATATATTGCATTACTAAATTGGGTTTTATTTGTTAAATGCACATTTGTGTTTAACCTTCCTCTTTTCAAGTTGCAGCATACCAAATATCAAGAAAGAGGCGTTTGTTCTTATATGTGTCTGTGGGGGGCGCAAGGAATTTAACTGAGGAGCCAAGGGGGCGCTGGCCTGCAAAAGTTTGGGAACCACTGCTTTAAAGGGAAGCGGGTGGGCGAGTTCTTTAACTAATTAGATATAAAGTAATTAGCTGCTGAAATCTTTGAATATAGTTTCTACTTGAGTTGTGCTGCAGTTACATGCTTAGTCTCATCTTAAAGCTGACATTCTGAGCTTTTCAACGATACCACTGCGATAGCTGTGAGTGAATTTTAACGCACACAGCTGGGCTCTAAAGAGGGGCGGGGGTGGATTTCCTTCAGAAAATAGATAGGACTTAATTCACTCGCTAAGACTAAAAATATTGGTGTATCTGGTATCTGCTATCTGGCATCAAGCTGCAGATGCAGTCACCCTCTTCGCTTTGTGTGGAGTGGTGTTCTGCAAGTCGCTCCTAGCATCCTTGAGTGGAATTAGGCTACAGAAGCCTATAGTTTGGTGGCTATGCTACATTTAGTGACTATTTCAAGGCGCGCGGAACTTTGTCGCGCCGTCCTGAAAAGTTCAACTTTTTGTCACGGAAAACCTATCTCCTCCTAGAGTTTTGAAGCTACAGCGATGAGACATACATGTATACCATTCTATTCGTAAAGACCATACCTATGCAGTAACACGGCCCTTTTTTTCGATTTGTGCATAGTTTGGATTCAAAATGGGGGGGAAGGGGGGGGGGAATGAGAAAAAATGAAAAAAATGGAAAAATGCTTTTAAAAAAACTAAAGCAAAAATCAAAAATCGGGCTGTGTTACTGCACTGGTATGGTCTTTACGGATAGAATGGTATATGTCTCATCGCTGTAGCTTCAAAACCCTAGGAGAAGATAGATTTCTACAGTACCCCCTTTTTTGTCCGTTTTCTATGAATTTCACGTTTTCTTTCAATTTTTTCGAAAAAATTCCACGAACAAAAATATCTTAGAATTCTGTTTTACATAAGTGTACCAAGTTTCAGAGTGATCCGTCCATAAACAAAAAAGTTTTTCTGGAGGGTATACGTATATTATACGATTCGCAGTATATGAAGTGCAGTCGAAGACGTTTGATATGCTTTTTGAATTCCCTCTGCGATTAATTATCATGCTTCAAATTTTGATGAATTTAAATATAATTTTTTGGATTAAGGTTCTTTTTTTGGCTGCTTGATCATTTGGAGGCAAATAGTGAACTCACTCTGAATTGTTCTTCTCACTTTGAATTTGTTTACTGTGTCAGCTCGATCATTTGGAAGAAATTACTATGAAAGCATCATATCACATCATTTATTCCGCTTCTACACATTACATCATACATGAAGTTGATGCATTTCAGTCTACTCAATTATTATCATTATATTTTTTGAGACTATCATAGATACCACGGTATAGCTAGAATTTGCAGAGCTAAAACAAGCATTCGATTGAAGCGTATTCATTTTCAAGTTATTTATACATATATGATCTTTATTTTCTAAATGAGAAGCGTCAGTCTGAAAAACAGATTAAAATGTATGAGATGTTTCCTGGTGACATTCTCCTTTTCAATTTGTTCTATAACGAACCATTGTAGAAAGCCAAAATTCATATTGCAACTATGCTGGTGCAAGCTCCATATGTCGGTCCCGTTGTGAGCTTCATTCATGTGGATCCAGGACCCGTTCATCGACTTAGTACCCGCAGTTGATCTGATTTTGGCATTCCTGTATAAGTGATTCTACTTTCTGAAGCTGTAAGTTGGGTTAGCAAGTTAATAATGGATGCACGTGCCTCTAACGCAATTTGTGCGTGGACGCTTTTTGTGATAAGCGAATAATCATTACTTGTTCACGTATAATATACGTGTGGTTCCCAAAGTGGGCGATATCGCCCCCTAGGGGCGGTGGAAAGATTTTGGGGGCGGTAAGGAAGAAGAGGTCAGTAGGGGGGCGATAGGAGGGTGGTAGTCCGAAGTCGATGTCAAAAGTTCGAACGTTTGTTTGACGATTTGTACACAACACGTGCGGCACATGACTGCCAGCAATGGTTTTTTTCACCCATATCTGTTTTTTTAAACCTCTTCGGGGTTTACGTCTCGGACAAATTAACGGCAGGACTCGCGGCCGGTCTCACGGCTCATTTCCAAATTCAGTGATCAAGGAATATTTCTCAAACTAATAAACTTAACTCGATGAAACTTAGTACACGTATTCATTAGGACCTAGCGATAATGTTTAGCTCGTGAAAATTGTTTGAAATTTTGCCATCGTTTGTTTTTGCTATTGTTATATGGCAATGCGGGCTGAAATTCACAGTGATCAAGTAATTCTTTCCAAACTACTGAAAAGATTCGAACGAAATTTTGAATTTGCAATCCTAACTACCGAACGGTAATATTTAGCTCGTAAACATTTTTTCGATTGTGCCTTCGTTCGCGATTTTTTTTTTCATATCACTTTCATTCGTGATTTAAACAGCAATACGTGTTTAAATCCGCAGTAATCAAGAAATTTTTTCCAAACTGCCGAACAGATTTGAACGAAACTTAGTATATAAATACCTAACCTCAGCAACGGTGATGTTTAGCTCGTTACAATTTTTTCGTTTTGCCTTTGTTTGCGAGTTATACGGCTATACGTATACGGCTCTGGGTTAAACCGGCCGGTAGAAAAGCCGGTCGTTCATTCTATATCTGTGTAACTCGCAAACGAAAGCAAAGAAAAAAATTGTCACGAGCTAAACATCACCGTTGAGAGGTTAGGTATTTATATCCAAAGTTTCGTTGAAATTTGTTCTGTAGTTTAGAAGAAATTTCTTGATCGCCGCGAATTTAAGTGACAAATTACCCGGCGATACGGGCCGAATACGTATACGGAAGTGTGAAATCAAGAATGACGGTGAAATTAAAGAAAAATCGCAAACGAAGGTAAAATCGAAAAAAAAATTTATAAGCTAAAAAATTACCGTTTGTTAGTTAGGCATGTATATTCAAAATTTCGTTCAAATCTGTTCAATATTTTGGAAGAAATTCTTTGATCACAGCGAATTTCGGCCTGTTTCGCAATATACGCGTAACTCACGAATGAAGGTGAAAATTAAAAATGAAATACGAGCTAAACAACACCGTTAGGTTCTGATAGATACATGTTCCAAGCTTCATAGAGCTGCGTTCATTAGTTTCCGAGATTTTACTTGATAATTAAATTTGGAGATTGGTCGTGAGACCGGCCACGAGTCCGGCCGTAAATTCGCCCGAGACGTCCTAGGTTTCTAGTGCTGAAACGGTTAAAACAGCTGAAAAATATTGGTTCACTAAATGGGGTTCTATTTGTGAAATACACATTTGTGTTTAACCTAGGTTATTCTCTTTTAAATTTGCAGCGTACTAAATTTCAAGAAAGAGGCGTATGTCTGTGGGGGGGCGCTAGACATTCACTAGGGAGCCAAAGGGGGCGCCAGCCTGAAAAAGTTTGGGAACCACTGACGTATATCAATGAATCACAACAATCGATTTCGTTCGAATTCATTAGTGAAGTCTGAATTTAATGAATTGATATTCAATGGCATGGTTTCTTACCTCAAAAAATTTGTTGACGTAAGCACACAATTTAAATGTTTGAATTACCAGAAATAGTCCTGCTACTCATTTCCAGTTTATCTGAGTAGGTAAACGGCTTAGTTAAAGTTATTATGGCTCAGAGGCAGAAGTATCATAGCTTTCGTAAAAAGAAGCATGACATGGAAGTTGAATGAAAAGAATAGATTAGTTCTAGAATGTGTTATCGTAATTATTGAATAACTAATAACAGTAATAAGTAATAACCTTGCAACTTTGGTGTAGCTAGCTGGCCCCAGGGCCAATGGCATCAAAACTCAATTATGGAATTTTTTCCGCAAGTGCAGAAGTCCGTCTTTGCTGTTTCCCGCAGCCGACGGTCTCTCTAATCACTTCTCTTGTTATTTACTGAAAATGGCATCAGCTTTAAAAAAAGTGAGTTGTTGAATCACTTGAATAACAGTATTTTTTCAATCAACCAAATTAATTACACCTGTTATGCTTAAGATTTAGAGCAAAGACATCACAGTTGACTTAGAATCTTAGATCATAGTTTTTTCTGAAGGGATAGTGGCCCCGGATAGTCTGGGATAGATAGGCTATCTAAAATTTTGTTAACAAAAGTGCATGTACTGCATGATTGTGCCGGAAGATTCCTATTGTATTATAAATTTATCACATCAGAGCTGTAAGATTTCAGAAACAAGAAGGAAAATTTCAATCCTGTTAGCAGATAAAGAAAGTGTGCTTTGAATAGATGCTGCTTTGATTTATTGTAGGGTAAACGCGGTATATTCCGACTCATTAAGGACGCATCGAGAAATGAAAAACTATAAAAAAAAAACGTATGCGTTACGTAAGTTCTGTTGCCTTCACATGACTCTCAAAACACTTCACTAAAAACAAAGCTTAATATAAAGGAAAAGCTGGAGAGGTGACGGAATTACCTACGATGTCGGAATATACCGTGTTTACCCTAATCAAAAGTCTAAGAAATTGAGCAAAAGTGATAATAATGGGTGAAATTATAAGCAAGCTTGGATATTTTTGTTTCATCATTCTGCAGCATCTTGCTATCTGCTCAATTTTTTAGTTTGGAATATGAATGTATTAAATTTTAATAAGTAAGCATGGGTATTTTACTAGGCTATTTCAAGTGTCTAATTTTTTTATCTTGGAGAAAATTTTTAAATAAATGCAAGTTAAAAAAGATCATTTGTATAGTGCTAAGGTACCGGTATCTATAAAAATTATAGACAGAACACAGAAATTTCTTACCTCTCTTAATTTTTATAAAGAAAATCAGAGTAAGGCCATAAATTCAGGCATGGAATATATCTACTTGGCGAGCCGCAACTGAATTTTTTGAGCCGTGATTTTATGGATTTGCCAGCCGTGATTCCATTTCTACGAGCCGTGATTCCATTTCACCGAGCCGTGAGTTCCATATCTCGGCCATGAAAAGCCATTTACGAGGTGCGAATTGATTTACAAAGTCCATGCACGTGTTACCCCAAATCTCTAATTTTACCCTTAAACAGTCAAACGGCAAAAATAAAATTTGTGTCTACTGTAAGTTCAGCACACGTTAATGCAGTCTGACCGCTTTGACATGACCGCAACTATGCGCGATCTTCAACAAAACATTTCGTTGATTTGTTTACGTTACAATGTTTATGTTTTTTCTGCAAGATATTTTTGACGGGAACGGTAAAGCAATGCGGATTGCGGAAGTTGAAAATTTTATGAAATGACATGTTTGCGAAGTGCAAACCGTGATTTTTTAATCAAACAAAAATTTATGACATTCGAGCCGCGAGATTTCATACCTACTGAAATTATATGATATTTGAGCCGCGATATTTCAGACAAAAATAGGACTTTTCCAGACTAGGGCCATATTAGGCCATAGAAACAAGTTGAATTATCTGAGTGTCATTACTGTCATACAGGTCAGGAAAAGTCCTTTTTTTTCTGAAATATCATGGCTCTAATATCACATAATTTCAGTAGGTATGAAATCTTGCGGCTCTAATGTCATGTATTTTTATTTGATTGAAAAAATTGTGGTTAGGACTTTGCAAAAATGTTGTTACATAAAATTTTCAACTTCTACAATCCGCATTACTTCAGCATAAGAATATCCTGCAGAATGTGCTAACAAGTCAACCCAATACATTCCGGTTGCATAGTAGTTCCGGTCACTGCAGAGCAGTCAGACTGCAATATCATGTGTTCAGGTGCCACTTATGTGAGAACAAATGTTAGTGTTGTTATATGATTAGACTGTTTTCAATGTAAAATTAGATATTTGGAATAACACGTGCATGCTTAGCCTAGTTGAAACTCCAATTCCTTATCTTTATGAGTTTATGTGCAAGCCAATGATAACAGTCTGAATATTGGTCACAATTTGTTGCATTGAATCGTGAAAAAATTGTATGTACTGTATAATTGTAGGTGCTTGAGCCAACTTCTTCAACTGAATTTCGCATTAGTAGGGGTATCAACTATAATAATACCAGGTCTCAATGTACTAGCCATTCTTATTATTTATTTTTTAATTTGTGAGATCCTAGAAATGACATACGTAGTATTTTTATGTTGCATGTAATGTGACTGACTACCCATCAGATAAGGGGTCTAGATCCACAGCTAGTGGCCTGAAATATTAAGAAGCTGGATTTAATATTTGTCTGGTGCTTCCGTTAAAATTTGGAGATTTGAAGAAATGATGTTAGGATACATTTTTCTGTTTTAGACCATTTGTTGTAGAATTCCTATTATTATTTTATATTATAAACAATAAAACAATAGTGGTAGTATATTTAATTTTTTGTGGGTATACAATTTTCAATTTTAAAATTAATGCCAATTTTATTTTCAGACTACTGGGCTGACTGGCCTGAAAGTCTGCCGCAACCCTCACCAAATTCTGAACATTTTGCACACCAAGATCTTACGCTGCTTGCAGAAGATGCCCCAAGATGCTGCCTACAGGAAGTACACTGAGCAAATTGTCCTTGAGAGGGATGCTGCAGTCAAGGCTGTGAGTTGTTTAGAGTAGGTAGCCAATGAGCATGTAATCAAGTAGTGGCTTCTGTTTGTCAAGCATTCTGAACACTTATTTCATACAATTTTAATATATATATATTTATAGACCAGTAATCCAGTATCATCAGATGACTGATGTGATATGTAAATATTTTACAATAATGCCTAGGTACTGTATTTGAAATTGCTCGCTACATATGAAAGTTAATCTTGTGGAATATTATTTATAAATAATTTGACTTGAACATGCACTGGTTGATGTTTAGTACGGTAACTTGGGTTGAACTTGACAATTTGAATATGTCAAAAATAATGAGATTGGCAATGAGAAAGTTATTTTTTCTTGGTGATAATACCTATGTGAGAAACTGACAGAAATGCAGTTGCTGTAATTTGAATTTTGTTCTTAATAACTGGCTATTACACAAAACATGGTATTTTTTTCCGTTCACCTGTAGCCATCAATTCTCTAGCTATACTGGTATAGACAAAGAACATATAAAAAAGCAGAAGCTGGAAATGATTGTTTCTTCAATGTAAATAATTAATTTTATTTAAAATTGTTAACTTCTTCTGAAGGAATCAGTCAGAATTTATTGGAACTACTAGGGCATGTGTGCTTTCAGAAGAAAGTTTCAGGTTCTATTTTTTCAAATGATCAATATTTACTGGTTCAATTCTTAAGGAAATTTTTACGTGCAGGAAGCATCTGTCCCTGAGCTGGAAAAAAGAGTTGGTGGTGGTCAGGTAAGTAGCACAGAAATGTCTTGTTAGTTGCGCTAGTTCTGATATTTAATATTTTGTTTTAATATTTTTAATTTGAGCTGCAATAATTATTCATTTCCATTTTAATTGAGGTCTCAGTGCCTATTGGTTGGTGAATGGAAATATTTACTGTACCAAGTTACTTTCATCTAACAAATCAATTATTTAAATGTGGTTGCTGGATGTGATGATTTTCTAGAAGCCAGAAATTACAAAGAGGAAGCTTGCACATCTTGAAAATAGATGTCACCTTAAAAATCTGGCGTCCATGCTTTGCCTCTAAATGTTTATTTAGAATTAAGAACCAGTCACAATGTCCCCTAGGGGGACTAAGGTTAATGATTAGTAATGATTCATTCCTTTCACAAATGCTTCTATGAATCGGAAGTGCTGAAGTTCTTAGCCTTGTGTAGTTTCATGCATGGTCGTTGAAATCTCAGTTTATGGTACCGTAAGTACCTATCAAAATGAGTAGTTTTCTTAAATAGTGACCTTCATGAAGCAGGTCTTCAAAAATTATTTAATTGTGTTCATATAGGTGTGGGTACTCATCAGTTCCTCATTCATTTGTTCCATTCACTAATCATTACGTATATGTTTTATTTGATTAACTCGTTTGTTTCTTTCATTCTTATTTTAATGTACATGTCATTGCAGGCTGAGGAGCTGATCCAGCAAGCTGAGCACGAGCTGATGCTGGCACGCAAGATGCTCGAATGGAAGCCCTGGGAGCCGCTAGTCACAGACCCACCCAAGAACCAGTGGAAGTGGCCAATTCATTAAGAAAGTCAGTACACATCCTCAAAACGTTTAATAGTTGATTATTAGTTGTTATTTTGCGTGATTGTGCATTGTTGTAGCCTGAAATTCAATTTAATCCTGCTGCTACCTTATGGGAGACTTAGAGTAATTGAACTCGACTTTAGAAGTTGATACATAGATGGTGTAGGCATTCTTGGAAAAAGAACTACGTTATTTATTTCAAATTGGGCCCTTGGTTTGTGCGTAAATATTCTTTAAAGTTGATCCTTGCTAAACTGTAGTATTAAGAATTAAAAACTAGTCTGTAGAAGTATGTCAAACTCTGAGTACTTGATGTGTCACCTATCATAGCACAGTACCTAACGCTGACTCAAGTTTCAAGTCCTCAATTATATCCTTGAAGTTAGCTGCCGAAAGTAACAAAAAAAATTTTCACCATCCGAAATTATAGAATTAAGTTGACCATTTCTGCTCTGTGTGTTGATGTAGTATATCGCCAACACTGCAATAAGCGACAATTCTCCTGCCATCCTAATACTGTAAGAGTGATTCATTGCCTAGCTGAATTGTTGGCTCCAATTCTCACTATTGCTGATGTATTTAGTTCTTGTCTCATGTGCTCACTCGTGTTTCCGTCTTGCAGGTCACACGGGTGATGTGAAGAAAATTCACCTAGCGTGCGCTGATATCTCTTCTGTGGTCTTCCTGTCAAGCTTGAATACGCGACGTTCCTCTTGCCTTTCAGCGAGTTTGTAAACGGGAAACTTTAGGCGTATTCGAATTGTTCTAAGTATACGGTATTCAAATTTTCGGTCTAAGAAATATTAGAGATGTTCAAACAGAATTTATCATCAGAAATTAGTATTTATGTTAGAAATTCATGACGCAGGAATCTGGGAAGTAGTGATGATAATCCTATTGGATTTGAAGCGATATTTTTCCAGCCGAAAAAATAAAAGATGAATCCTAAATAGATTGAATGAATTCCCACAGAGGTAACGAGCGTATGACAAGACAGGCTTTTGTTCAGAAGGAGAACTGAAACAGCTCATGCCTCGTATTTTTCAAGTTACGGGAAGCCACGAAGTGACAGCGTTTGTAAATAATTCAATTGAATAAACGTCCTTATATGGTTTTGTATTCGTGACTTTCTTGACTAATGCAGGACCGATGATCAATTGTATTTGAATTGTAATTTTACGTGCAAAAATCCGCTCCATAATGATACATTTTTATCAATATTAATTTTCTGCCCAGAGGACAGTTTTATCAAATTACACTCCCTGAACTTACTAAAATATTATTTCCTCCAAGTTTAAACCTAGTTTTCCAGAAGTCACAAACGCTAAAAAATAGTCTCAACACTTTTAATTTCTACCCAATACTTTTCTTTCATGAAGGCGGCAGTTTATGAAGAGCTTTTCAGGTCCGTTTAGAGTTCACCTGTCTTCAGGGCTCAGGTCATTATCGTGCTCCTGAACATCCTTCTTTTATAATGAATAGTCAGCACTCAATAGGTTGATGCACATATATATTGTCTAAAAACATTCATTGTTTAACTTTAGATAAAACTTCTTGCCACCTACCTGAGGGAGAGGCCTTTTGACTCTTCTCTGACGTCCTCTAGTGACACAAGCAGTCTCAGGATTCTGTTGAGAGAAGTTCAATGAAATCACGGGTCAACAAGAATAAAATAAAGCTGCAATTAATTCTAGCCGTTATGGATAGAATCATGTTATTCAGGAATTATTAATAGAGTCTCTACCTTGTGGATACAGTAATAGCTTTATCTAATACCCCACATGATCGCCTTGTAGGAGCTAGCAGGCATGCTGGAGAGGGGCTCAGAGATAGTTTAATGGTATTAGATATTAATTTTCGTGAATTTTTTGCCATAAGAAAAGCATAAACGAGCAGGATTGAATGATAGTTTATTCAGAGGGTTCTGGCATGTTCTGTTTGTGTAGACACGACAAGAATTCTTGTTTTTGTATGAAGTTGGTCAATGAAGCCATATTGAGGCTGCCAGCTGTGAGTGAGCCTTTCAATGGAGCTTTGAATGACTTGTATGCTCGCGACGGCGGTGCGATAATCGTGGGTATATCAGACTGGAGCTGCGTTCCTCAGAAGTGGTCTTGTCATGGTTGTTGTAACCCGTTTTGGGGATTGGAATTATCCAGCACCGGACACTTGTCGTACCTGGATGGTCGGTGATGTTTTTGTAGGTGGCAGTGATTGGCGTGGACCAGAGACCACAGGATGTGCAAGGTGCTGGTGGATTACGTGGCTGTTTTCTTGACGTGATTGCCTTCAATGCACGTTTTAGGATCGAAAGAGCATGGCGCTGCAGGTGAAAGTCGAGCCTACCTCATCAGTAAACATCGTTAGGGTGAATTTGCCATTATGTACGTGAGAAAGAAGAATTCGCGATCAATCACTGTTGATATCCGCATGAAACCTCTCGCCCCTACAAGAAAATTCTTTTCCCATTTGAGCATAATTACTCTCGGCGCTAGTCAAGCTATTCTGGAAGCTTGTCTGTATATCCCACCACGAAACTGAAAGAGGGGGCCGCTAACGAGCTATTCACTGCACATTATTATCTAGTTAATAATTTAATGCGACTGATTAGGGTTCTTTGGCAAATCTAGTTGGTAACTTCAGAATCTCGAACCTGTACACAGTGCATTTGCAGCTTGCAACAGCTCGGATGGCGAATTTTATCCACTTTTCCCAGACCAAGAGAAATTCCACATGTATTAATTAAGGGCCAAGAAATTTCAGAGCTCTTTCTCAATAAGCGAGCATTTATCCATGTTCATCTGTGATTATTATTCAAAACTTTGTCCTTGTTACAGCATGCTTCTCTTAACTATTATTAAGCACCACAAAGTTGTGTATGAAATCGATTTCATCCTCAAGTCAAGGATCGCCTGCATTTTCTTAGTTTTTTTGGCTATGTCAACTCCCATTTTAAAGCGATTAAATTTATATCTGCAAAATGAAGTCAGCTGTGCACTTGCGCCTGATCGCATCCATCAAAATCAAGAAGCCGCGCCGAGTTTTGAGAAAAGTTTCGCGCTTGATCGCCAATAAGATAAAACTTATAAGTATGAAGATGGTACTGTTCCCACTTCAAATTAGGAATAAAATTTCTTCAAACCACTATTTCTCAAATGATGGTTCCCATTAATTTCGTTGCCCTTACTTACATCAAACAATGGACTAGTCTACTTCAACGGAGCGGCCTCTTTTCAATAGTCCATGTCGACTGTCGTCAATGTTTCTGACGATATATCACCGAAAAGGAATAGTAATTGATTTCATAGCAGTTTTCATTGCATAATCGCCAATGCATGTTCTTTGGGGTATAGTTTAACAGCCATTCCAAATATTGCAATAGCAATTCCAACTCCTTGTTCGCGAGCAAAATTCAATCAGAAAACTGTTTACCTTTTGGTCTGATCCAATTACGCAATGAGAGCTAATGGTATGGAATCTTCTCGGCTCTATACATGGCTTGTTTCATTTAGCTTAGCGCTGTAATATTTGGAATGATTACTGAATCATCTTCACAATTTGTTATTCTTAACTTCAAACGAAACACCACCTAAGCAGTCATCATTGCTGAGTAAAACCCACTGAATGAGCATCTCTAGTCGTTACTTTCGTTAGAATTAATTTTTTTTTTCGTATATTCTACTAACACAAATAACGGGAAGGTTTCAACGGGACGCCTGTCGGAGACCACCATGCCGTGCTTCGAATGGACTATCATGATACCTTCCCTGAAGAACGTAGCCTACAACACATCTTGACTGTAACGTTATTAGCCGCACGCCACCAGACAGATCACATCCATTGAATTAGATCAATCAGCCCACAGGAAAATAAGCCTGGCATCGTATGGCCCAGCGTCCTCTGCCAACACACGAAAAAATTTTACACCACCCGGACGGAGCGCGCCGGAGCCGTCCGTATCTGTCCCGTGTGTCGGACCAGCCCACGGTCGAACGGCCACGCGTCGTACGATGATAAATTTTGGAACAGAACTATGCTATCTGGAACCTAACCCCAGATGCTGTGAGCTAAAAGTTACGTAATTTAGCGAAGCTGTAGAAGTCGCTCGTCGAAGGATGATAGATTTTGGAACAGAACTATGCTTTCTGAAGCCTAACCCCAATGCTGTGAGCTAAAAGTGACGGTCTGGTGGTGCACGGCAGGATGCACACAGTTCCACCGGCGACCTGGGCTGGTTGGTCACAGTCCGTTGTCCGCAAGTTACAGTTCGAGCTAAAGTCAGGGTATGAAGTGATGATTCGATGCAACGTTCAGTGGTGCATAACCATTACTTTCTGGGCTATTCGCTTCAGAATATGGTGGCGTGAAGCTCCTAATATTTAAAGCAAGATGATGTCACGGGCTGGTTACCGACGGTTGGCTTAATCATCATCCGGAAATATGCTAGGCGTTCCATTCAAGGCTGATTGGTGCACAAATTTGGTGGTGCACGGCTGCGTACCCGGTTTCAACCAGGCTTTTCATCCTTCTATGAGCGTCAAAAAAACTTGCACGCCACAATAGAAACGCGTTCCCTTCGTCATGAGGTCCTTAGTATACTTCAACAGTTGAGTGAGGTATAGGTGTTAAAATTTGTAAGTTTTTAACCAGCAATTCTTGTGACGAACTGAACTCTGATTCTTTCCTCGTGACCCAAAATTTAAAATTTTCAGCAATACGAAAACGGCTTTCGAGTAGTTCGCTAGTTAGGTGATTCATGCATGTGTATGTCAGGTCACTGTAAGTGTCGCCTTATTCTGACAAATTTCAGTCTAGGCCTCAAACTCTCTTAAATAGCTTCAAATATGAGATTTATAGTTAATAGAACCATAAATTAATATTTATGGTTCTATTAACTTTCCGACCCCTGCGAACGAGTATTCAGATTAAAAAATCATTACCTGCAGAAAAGGCTGCAGTACAATAAGGCTTCGTTCACGCCACACCGCCAGTCACGGTCTAGTCCAACATTTTAATGCATTTCTATAGAAGCATTCACACCTGCCGTGCAAAACAAGTGCCATGCCAGGCACGGTCCAGCCGTGAAAAAGGCGAAAAATATTTTGACCGACCAGAAAGGAAGTGACTGCAGTGTTGCCAACTATTTTTTGCCGGTTATACCAGATTTTCAGCTCAACATACCCGATTTTAGCAAATAGGCCAGATTAAAACTATCCATATCCGACACAATCTCGACTCTCCAGATTTATGACATCTGATACGGATTTATAATAATTAGCAACGCTGCGTGACTTGCGTGGTTCGTGATACGAAATGAACTGAAATGAGGATGACCCGTATAGGGCTTAACAAGTTAACACGTGGCTGCACCTGGCACGGAACGGAAAGCGACTGGCAAAGTGGCAAGTGTCTGGCACGTGCCCTCACTGCCCTGCAGTATGGTGTGAACAAAGCCTAACATCAAGATTATAATTTGTTTTATTTAAATATAAACATGACAATGGAGTTACAGTACTTGTAGCCGCGCGGTGACAAGCGAGCCAGGAAGACCTAGTCTGATGAGAGGTAGCGGATGGAGTTAGGAGATTAGCATCTTAAGGGGGTCCTGGTCTAGCATAGAGAGCACCAGAAGCAGAAAACGCATGACTGAAATTTAGGGTATTTAATTTTCATACCGAAACAAAATGCTACCTTATAAGGACGATGAATGTAATGTATACAGGAGTAGCGCCCGGCTTTCTCCGATGAACAGGTTGAAGTCTTCAATAATGGAATTTAGTCATTATAGAAAAGATATGAGTGTTATGAGACCAACAGCAATCGACTGTCCCCACGCTGTATTTATTTTAAGTAAGACGAGAAGAACACATGAGTATTGTCCAGCCTTCTCCTAGAGACTTGACTAGGTATCACTTTCTATTTATTAGAAATAGGACGTAGAAGTAAGCAAGAATATTTTTTGGCAACATATGGAGGAACTTTTCTGTCACCGTAGTTTATTTCATTATAAAAGGACTGTCTAGAATTGATGAGTGTTGCTTGGCCTGCATTCTCTAACCGTCGTTCACATGCCGCTGCGCTCGGTGGTCGCGCTATTTGCAGGGCTCTTCAAATTAGTT